CACAGGGTGTATACACACCCGCACCCCCTGCGTGCACACACCTGCACCCCCCGCGTGCACACACCTGCCCCAACACAAAGCCATGAGGGAGGCGGCCAGGCCCTTCCCTACAGCCACGTGCTGATCGACGCATGCAGGAGAGGACGCATACACGTGGCCAGCACCGCGGTGACCGTTGACCCAGACCAGAGCTGCTGATGGATGCTAAGACCGACGGGCACAGGGGGGATGAGGAACAGGGTGTTTCCATAATCTCGAAGCACCTCCACAGACAGCTGATTACTACAGGAGCAAGACTAGCCAGTGTCCCCCCCAATCACGGGACCAACGTCAGCATCCAACCACCTTGCACCTGCTACTGAGTGTGCTGGGAGGGCACAAACATGTCCCAGCTATCTGACAACCGGCCTCTCCGGGCACATCAAGGTTGTGAAGGAAGTTCCAGACTAAAGGAAATGACAGGGGCAGACAAGCAGATGTGACTGTGGATGGGACCCTTGCCCACGGAAGCCACCGAGGACCAGCAGAGCCCATGGTAGTCCTGTGAGCTGGGCTCATCTGCAGGAAGACGGCACGATGGAGTTTTGGGGGGACACACTGTCTCCTCCACCCCCCAGGGTCAAAAGATGGGAAGGGCAGGACTTCCAAGCACCCGGGATGACAACATTCCCCTAACATTGGCAGCTTCCTTGGGGAAGGTTCAGCTCGATGGAAGTGGGTGGGCTGATGGCCCAGGCTCCAAGCCCGCAAGCCCCTGGCCCAAGCCTGGCCTCTGGACAAGCCCCTGCTCTGCACAAGGGTTCTTACCCCCTGACCCCAAGCAAGGCCCTCCCTCTGTAAAATGAGGGGTTGGACTGGGGGCTCCTGGTGGGGGGGGGGGGTCCCCACCACAATTGCTAGGGCCTCTTTCTTAACCACAGCCTTGGCCAGGCCTGGCTGCTGGGGGCCTGCCCTTCCCACGGCCCCGCTGGAGCGGAGGTGTCAGGCCCGTGTGGCTGGAGCAGGCCCTGGCACTGGGTCCTTCCATCCTGGTCACTGCTTGACTTGACCCCACCCCCAAGCATGCACAGACTTTGTCATCTGGGAGACCCCTCCACCCCCCCATGCACCCATCTTCCCTCCTCCTCCCCACCAGGGACACACACCTAGCGCCCCCCGCCCCGCAAGTGTGCACACACCTGGTCACTGTCGTACATATGCATCAGCAGCCAAGTCTGCCTCGTCTTCTGAAATCTCCAGTTCTCGTGCTTCTCGGCCCAGCTAGGTATCAAGGACAGGACATTTCAGGTGCTGGCAGGAGGAGCCGGAAGGGTGTGTGCAGCCCCCGTTCCCCCAGCCGGAGGGCAGCAGACAAGGAACAGGAGCAGAGGGGGCTCAGGCGCCTGGTGCTGGGAGGACACCTCACTTCCGCACGCCCGTGAGGCCTCGGCCAGCTGGGCCTGCCTCCACATCGGCACCAGGGGGCACAGGGCTCTTTCTTCCAGCCCTACAATGCCACGATTTTACGATGCCAACGTGCACATCCGGAATTCCATGACATCAGCCGTCCTTGCAAAGCCTTTATCGTGTGCTACGGCAGAGCCTGCCCACCAGAGTGAGGACAGCCTTTAATCCGAGAGCTGTGTGTGGAGGGTGAGGGACAGCAAGCTAGGAGGAGCCAAGAACCCCGACCTGGAGGGCCATCCTGGTCTGGGCTGCTTGGACGCCAGGGACAGAGAAAGAAATCCGGCCACGCCAGCCCCATGCCTCCGCTAGAGCCGCCTGGCCTGCACCCTCCCAACCCAAAGGCCTCCAAAGGCCCAGCCCGCCCCCCCGCCCCCCCACACCAAGGCCATAGCAGCAAAGCCAGCCTGCTGACATGCAGCCCACATTGTAGAGGCTGGAGGATGAGGAGGCAGGTAGCTTCAGGTGTCAGAGGAAATACGTCAAGGTGGGTGGGTGCTCTGGGCAGGACCGCAGGGCCAGGCTCTTAGAGCTGAGAGGTGAACACGGGCCAGAGGCTGGCATGTCTGGGACTCGCGGGTGCCAATGGCCATGGGGAGAAGGGCAGAGGGTGAGCCCCCAGGGCTGTGTGACCACTGCTCTAGCTGCAGCCTCATGGCCTCTACTCGGTGGGGGGGGTCCAAGAGCTCTCGTTGGCTCCACAGAAGCCAACGGGTTTTTGTGGGAAAGCAAAAACCACAACAGTGGTCATTAGAGGAAGGAACGGAGGAAAGAGAGAAATCCTCCCAAGGGGCCCCCTCCCCCATGTGGGTCATCAAGTCACGGCCTCTGCCTCCAATCTTCCTCCATCGCCTGCTCCGTGGAAACAGAGGACTTCCTTTGCCAGATGGTCCGATGTGAAGCAGAAGGCGCTGGAAAGACGTATCAGCGTAACAGAGGAAGGCTCTTCCATCCTGGTTCCAGCAAGCAACCCCCGGGAGCTGATGGTCCACCGTGGCCCCGGCCAGACTGCCCATGAGCAGCCTTCCTGGCAAGTCCCGTGGGCTCAGCTCCTGTGGTTTCGGCTCCTGTGGCTTCTCTGCCATTCTGTGAGCCACGACTGGGCCTCCTCACAGCCCTGGGGGAGTGGCTGCCCTGGAATCTGCTCCTCCTGGGTCTTGAGTTCTCGATTCACTGGCAAGCCCTCACTACGCTTAGTCATTCTTTATAACAAACTTTCCCTGTGCTTCCACCGACCAGCTGCACCCTGGCCCATCCCCCCACCCCGAGGATGGCACGTGACCTCACCCCAGGGCCTGTGAGGTCCCTCCTAGGCTGACACGGTGTGGCGGTGCCGAGCTCCACTGCCTGGGACCTGGCTCCCATCACTGCCATGTCGACAACGTGGACGGGCTGTGCACCCAAAGCAACACCCCTGCCTAACCCCAGGGCTCTGGTCACCTGAGCCCCCAGGGAGTGCCAGAACAGCTTCAGATATGCCGTGTGGGCCCACAGGAAGCACGGGGACCAGCTGGGGGCCCATGGCACGCCTAGGACAGGCAGAGAGGAGGCCCCCAGACAAACAAGGACAATGATGGTGACGGTGCACACAGTTGAGCCAGCCCACCTGCTGGGGTTCTGGCTCCATCCTGGGGACACCTTGCTGAGAGGCAGTGCCCGCAGGGATGGAGGATCTGTATTCTGGGGAGCAGAGAAAGTGAGAGACTGGGGTTGGCAGGGAGGGAGTGGGGACCCAGGACCAGTGTAGACACCCCGGTGCCGAGGGGGTGCGGAGTCCTAGATGGCTCCTAGAGAACGCGGCTCTGAGCACCACATGGTCACAGATGAAGGACACTTCAACAGTCACTGCCCAGGCCCCAAGCCCATGGCCACCCAGAGGCGCAGCGCAAGAGGGGTGACAGGTCTGACGGCAGCTCTGAGGCTCTAGTTCCACAGGGAGCTCTGGGCCGAGGCCCAGCCTGAGCCCCAGCATCGGGCAGATTCTGGAGCCCCTGAGCCGGTGACTGTCTCTGACCTCCACCAGCCCCACCCCGCACCGCGGCCCTCAGGGCAACCCTACAAACCCCTCCGCAGACCGCACACGTGCCAACTCCCACGTTCAAACCTGACGCAGCCACGGCCCCTCGAGGCATCCCAGCTCCATCGTCGAGGCAGAAGGAAACCTTATCTCAGCTGATAGGAAGGTCGATCCTGGTGCCTGGACTGGGACCCAGGTGTAATGAGGGTCCTCGGCTGTGATGGGGGGGCAGCAGCCTCTTGCCTCTGCAAGAAGGTCCTGAGCTGCTGGGGCTCCACATCCCACTGACCCGCAGGCCCCGCCACCCACTCGGGGGCCTCCGTGCTGCCTCTGCCCTGCTTGTAGCCTGCCCAAGCAGCTGACCTACGGTGCAGCCCATACTGGGGGTGGGGCTGCGAGGCTGGCGCACCGCGGCGCACAACCCCAACAGGCCACTGCAGATCTGCTCCGGGCCCCTCACTTCCCCCCGCCCTGGTGGCCTGGCAGCGCTGAGACCCGTATCTGTCACACAGCACACCAGCCGCTGTCCACGTGCGCACTGCGGTGTGGGGACTGCAACAGACACCATGGGCAGTGTGGCCACGGAGCGTGGCACAGAGCGTGGTCTGCATTCCAGCTTGGTACTTTCCAGTCCCCAGCTCTGAGCCGCTGGAGTCCTTTCTGTAATGTGGGGCAGTCACACGTTCCTGTCCCAGTTTAGGGGAGAGCAGGGGGGGCCCCCTCGAGGAGAACTGCCGCTCATAGGAGCTCTCCAACCCCTGCTGGCCTCAGCAGCGTGGCCCAGCTTGGCTGGAAAACGGGGTCCCAGCCACCCCTGGTGGAGCCTCATTCCCCCAGGATCGCCCCGTGTGGCAACAGGCACAGCTCGCAGCCTCCTGCCAGGAGGATGGTCCTGTCTGCTGGGCAGATGCGGGGGATCCTGTGCACGAGGAGAGAGCATGTCTCCCTGCCCTCAGCCCAGCGAGGGGCTGCAGCCCACACCATGGGCAGCCTGGTGCGAGGCCTCAGGAGGAGAGAATGCTGGGCACCTCTGTTCTGGGCTGTGACATCCCACAGGCACCCAGGGCCACTCCTGGGGCTCCTGCAGGGTGCAGAGGCCACCACTGACATTCCACGTGCACACACACGGCACGGCTCCATCTGTACATCACCTACCACTGTCAGGCACAGGGACAACGGTACTGGGCGGTCTCGGGAGCCCACGCAGGCTGGAGGCGAGGCCGAAAGCGAGGACAGGCTGCCGACCAGCACATGGACAGGATCCCCGGGCTGGCCTCTAGGTAATGGGGGTAGTCCAGACAGGGCCGTCGCCCTTGAGGTGACAACCAGGGATCTGGGCACTCCACACAGTGGAGCAAAGACTGGGCCCCCAGTCCTCCCTCTTGCCTTCCACATAGGGTCAACATGGACAGCGGCCACAGGCACTGTAGGCCTCCTGGCCCGTCCTTACTGCCGGCCCGCCCCAGACTCCATCTGTGACCTGCTGTACAGCCTGAGATCCACTCTGTGGCTGGCACCTACCTGGCCAGTCTACCTGCTCCTGTCTCCAATGCTGACCCGTGACCCTGCCTGGGAGTGCGTCAGCTGGGCGCGCAGGGGGGTGCGTCAGGGGGGCATGCAGGGGGTCGCGCCAGAGGGGGCGCGAAGGGGGGCACGTAGGGGGGCCGTCAGCCGGGTGTGCAGGGGAGCACGAATGAGCGCCGGCTCTCAGAGTGGCGTGGTGGCGGTGTCAGCTCTGACCTCAGAGGACGCTGGCGGCATCGACAGCACTGAACCCCGGCACCAGACAGGCCTCACTGACTGGAGAAACGTGCGCTGGGATAAGAAGTGCGCCGACCCGAGAAGGGTCCTGGTTGGTGACGGTGAGCAGGGCGCACCCCTCCACACCCATGACTTGCAGCTGGGCCACCCCCGCCTCTGCCAGGGACATGGGGGCCTGGGACTTCCTCCCGGCACCTACTAAGTTTGGGGAAGCCAGGAGGGCTGTGCCAGCCACCCGGTCCCACCAGATATGGATCCCCAGCCCGTTCCCCGGGCCCCAATCCTAGCCCTTCTGCTGGGAACTGCCCAAGTGACACCAACGTTGGGGACTGGACTCCCTAGGGGGCGCTGGTTCCGGCACAGCCCCACTGTGCCCAGTAGCCAAGAGTGCAGGGGAGACCGAAGGGCCCAGGTGGCACAGAACCACACGTCCTTATGGCTGATGACCAGGGCCAGGGGATGGGGACTCCTGACTGCGGTCCAGGCCGCCGCTCTCCGGCCAGCCGCTCCGAGGGGGCAGTGAAGGAGAAGTAGGGCAGAGAGATCGCCAAGAGCCCGTGCACAGCCCTCTTCCCAGCCAGCAGGCGGCTTCCGGAGAATTCCTGCCCCCAGCGCAGCCAGGGCAGGGCCTTCCAGCACTCCGCAGGTGGAGGTTCAAGAGCCAGCGGGCAGCGGTCCTCCCAGGAGCACTCTGTCCTCCTCACTGAGTCCATCCAGTGACGAGCCCAGGGGGGCAGCCCAGCAGCCTAGCGCGGTGTCCGGATTTGGTTCAACAGCGTACAGGACGCCGGTGAAGGGCTCGGTGAGACAGCACCCCACACCCGCCAGGAGGGCCGTCCTCGGCACCCCCGCTGGTGGGGCTGGAAATGGCGCGGCTGCTATGTGTCCACAGCTCCTCCCACACCAGAGTCACCAGCGAGCCCGTGTGCCCGAGACAAAAGAAACTGCGTCCACACAGAATCCCGCACATAGACACGCACCACAGCAACAGCCCCAACGGCCACGTGGCTGAAACAACCCCAATGCCCAGCAACGGGCACACGGACAAACAAAACGTGGTGCACACACACTGTGCGCAGCATTTAGCTGTGAAGGGAGAGGAAACTGTGGCACGCGCTGCCATGTGCACGAACCTCCAAACAGTACACTGCGTGGAAGAAGCAGGCCATGACAGGCTGCGTGGTGAATGAGTCCCTTTGCAGGAAATGTCCCGAATGGGCATGTCCTTGGAGACATGAGGTGGATGAGGGGTCCCCTGGAGCTGGGGCAGGGGGCTGCTCTCTGCAGTGACCAGGGCGTTCCGAACCGGCTGTGTGGTGGCCGCATGTAAACCATTCTCCAAAAACGGTATGGGAGGAGTGAAACCGTGCGTCCACGGCGGGCTTCCCAGGCTGACCCTGCTCTGGGCTGCTAGGGCTCCTGGCCTCAAGTGAGTACCGATCGGAGAAAGGAGGAACCCACTTCCCAGGGAGGAGGACCAGGCGTGGCGACCGGCTGGGGCACATGCCGCCCCCTCCCAACAAGTTTCTTGGCAAACAGAAGCCAGTGGTCTCACAGGGGCCTCATTTTTCCTGGAGCTTCTAGAAAGTCTCCTATGCAGCTGTTAGCAATGTATCCTCTAGCCACTGCCCGCTTGTAACGACAGGGTGAAACGGGCCGTGGGCAGTCCGAGGGCTCCGGCCGAGGCTGCGGTGACCGCACTCTGCTCCCCCGGCACAGCCAACTCCTCAAGCCCAGGATGGCGGCTCTCCCCTCCCTCACACCACCGGAGGCGCTGGTTCTGTGGGGACACCACTGGAGGTGGCGCTACAGGCCCCGGGGTCCCTGTGGTCCCAAGAGCCAGATGGGTCCTAGGTCAGCTGAGCCTGCAGCCCGTGTCCCTCCCTGCACAGACCCCCTGGGACACTGGCCGGGCCCCGCGGGAGGGGCTCGTCTTACCCACAGAGGTAGTCCAGAGCCAGCTGGGCCCCGGAGCGCTTGGCCGGCAGGCTCTGGGCTGCTCCTGACTCCCGCAGCCACTTCCTCTCCTCTTTCCTCCGCTCCTTCTTCAGCTTCCTCTCCAGGACCCTCTTCTCTTCCGGGGTCAGTGCGGGCAGCTGGGGGGCCGGCTCCTGCCTGGCCCCCAACACTGCTTCTCCCTGCAAGCCAAGGGAAAATCGGCCTGTGAGGATGTCCCGCAGCATCCTGGACCCCCGCTCTCGGAAGCTGACCCCTCCAGGTGGGTGGGCTGTTCCACACCCTGTGCTGGGCTCCCCAGCAGCCCCTCACCGCCAGTAACTGGGGACAGGGCTGTTCAGTGTCTTGCTCTCCCAGGGACCCAGGAGACCCAGCGCCAGGTGGGATTGTCTCACCCCAGGACGGGTCAAAGTTGACTGACTTCAGCCCTGTTTCCTGACCCTGCACCTGTGCTCAGCACCGGGGACAAGGACTTCTGGGCCTTGACGAGGGCCCCACCCCCTGAGGCCCTGCAGGAGACCCGCCCGTCCCCTCTCCCCTCCCTGTCCTCACCGCTGTCTGCAGGCCCCCAAGCCTGCCCCGCAGTGGGGTGTGAGGTCCGGGTGCACAGAGGCTGGGCTGAGAGCGCACACTTCTTGCAGGGGGTGGGGACAGCGGGGGGCAGTCTTCCCGCCACAAAGATCCACAGGCCCTTCTGCTTTTTGCACGAACCCCTCCTGAGGAGAGCAGGCGGTTCAGCGGCTGGGGGGCATGGTGCTGGTGGCCTCTCGTCCCCCCGCCAACGGGCTGTGACCTCCTGACACCACCTCTTTCCCAAAGTACAGTGCCCCCCTCCTCCCCACTGTCAAACCAGGTGGAGGGTGACGACCCCAGCAGCTGCACACGCTTCCGCCTGCCTGCAAAACCTGGACCGCCAGCGCTGCTCACATGATTCCGGCCAGGGACCCCGCCACTGCCCCCAACGCCTCCAGGAAGGGCGAGCACGCTGCCCCAGGCGCGTCCAGCGTTTGTAGCACACCCCCTCCCTTCAGGCCTCCCCAGAGGCCACAGAGGCCCCCTCATGAAGTGCCAGTGCCTTGACAGCCTTTGTGTTCCCACTCAACCCCAGGTCCTTCCGGAACCTTCTAAAACAAAAGAGCAGCTCCTCCCTCTGCCTCCTTAAAACCAAATGAATTTACCAGCAGCGGGGCTTCGGGGCTGCCCCAGGGAGACTCCAGCAGCCTCAACGCCACATGCGGACACGCACGCAGACGCGGACACGCACGCAGACGCGAGGACGCGCACGCGGACACGCACGCACACCCATGCGGACGCGCACGCAGATACAGACACGCGCGGACACGCACGCGGACGCGCGGACGCGCACGCAGACGCGAGGACGCGCACGCAGACACACGCGGACGCGCGCAGACACGCACGCACAGACAGACGCATACACACAGACGCACATGGACACACATACAGAGACAGACACAGACACACGTGCACACACACACTGATGTGCACTGACACACATGCAGACACACAGACACTCGCACGCAGGGCTCACAGACACGGCCCCAGGAGCCCAGCACCCCAGCGACCAGAGGGCATCTGGTTTTCAGGTGGGGTTTCCTGAGGTCGAGGGCACAGCAGTCTGAGGACCGGGACGTGGGCGTCCACGGGGAGTCTCCCTCCGGGCTCCCTGCTCCGACAGTGCTGGGCCCAAGGCGGCTCATGGGGCGGGCAGCACAGAACGTCTGGCAAACAAGCTTCGGTGCAGACCGGCCTCTGGCCCCTCGCCCCCCCCCCGAGACCACGCAAGCAGCACGGCAGTGGCCACCCGGGGCCGAAGTCTTGGGACAAGGTCAGGGCCCTAGCAGCGCTGGGCCGAGGACGTGTCGACACCGACCCCGGGGGGCCTGGGAGGGGCAGGGAGGGCAGGAAGCACCCTTCACGGTGCCAGGTGTCACCAGGATGGGGCCTCTGCCCCCTGCCCCGCTGACCCTGTGCTGTACAGAGGCTGCCCCTGGGGCTGGAGGAGGCTGACGCACAACACACAGACTCCCTCTGAGGGCCCGGTCCCCACGGAGGGGCCAGCAGGCAGGCGGCGGGAACTTGCCTGCACAGCCTGGGGTGACGCCCGGCATGAAGGGCCCCTGTCTGGTATTAGGCACGCAAACCCAGGAAGGACACACACAGCTTCTTTCTCTCTCTGGCCAGCAGTCACCCTGGTGTGGCAGTGGCTGCAGCCCGCGCTCTGTGTCCTCAGGAAGCAAAGTGTGCCTCCAGAGTTGTTCCGAGGGCCAGGACGCCTGCCCCTGACTGCGCCAGGGGCCAGCCAGGGACACCGAGGGTTCCAGACCCACCGATGCCCACACCCGGGCCACGGCCCGAGCTGAAAGGCCTCTCCAGAGAAGCTGGGAACAGAGAACGACAGGTAGAACCTCCTGAATTTTAAATGCCGGCAGTTCCAATTAAACAATGCAGTCTGTGGGCAAAACCAACCACTGTGTGTGAAGGACCCCCGAGCCCAAGACCGAAGCTCCACCTGCTATAGACCAGCCTTCCTTTCCCTAAACTCTGACAGGCCTGCAGGCATCCGCATCTGCCCTTTCTGGTTCTCTTCCAAGGAAAGGGGCCGCCAAGGAAAGTAGCCAGAGCCCCTCTCCCACAGCTACTTCTGGGAAGGGAGACAGAGTGACGGACCATTGCCCCTCCCTCAGCTGTGGTCCTTGCCCGGAGAGGGGTAGCACACGAACCCAAGCAACCATTTGTAGAAAACACAACAGTCCCGGGCATTGCTTGAAGATCAAGAAGCGGAGCCCAGGTGTGCAGGGCTGTGACGTGGCAGGGGCAGGGGCCATGGGCCAGCTGTGGGCCTCACCTGGTCCCTTTGCTCTGGGTGCCCTGACCGTTCTGGCCTGGCCGGGGACGCCCCCATTGCTGCTACCATCACGTGAGGGCACGGGGCTGCAGGGGCAGAGAGGTGTCTCAGCCGCAGTGGGGCTGGGATGGCAGACAGCAGGACAGGGCCTGGCTGGACCCAGGGACCTCCCAGCACGGGGTGAGGGCCGTGGGGGCCTACCCGGGACCCTCCTGCTTCCTGTGTCCCGTAGCCTCGCTGGCGCAGTGGGAGGCCAGCGCCAATGCCACGGGAAGCAAAACACTTCTAAAGCACAGCGTCCGCGAGCTTCGTCCGTGAGCTTCGGCAACACCACCGTCCCAGGAGGTGGAGCTGAATACAATTTTCTTTGGATTGAGAATGAACTTTCTCCAGTTGCCACTGATCTGATAACCCTCCGCAGAACTAGGTTATAATTAGCAAATAACAGTTTGGACATGCCCGCCCCCGCCACCGAAGCCTCCCAAAGCGAAGCTACTCGGGTTTAAGGTTGCCCAGGGGCTTGTGAACAGCCTACGTAAACACAAATCTGAAAAGGAATGCAGGAGTCCTGTAATGGAAGCCGTTGGAGCCCCTTCTGGGGATGCAACTTTCAGGGGAAGGAGGGGTCTTCAGAGAGCGACACGGTGGGGAGGGGCAGCACCCCCAGCCCCTGCAGGCCCAGCCCACTCTCCAGGGGCAGCGTGGGGTGGCAGCAGATCGCAGCTGTGAACACGACCCTTTTCCAAAACACAGACTCGGCCGACCGCGTGGGGCTCAGCTGCCATCACCCCACACGTGCTGCCTGTTTGCTTGTCACAAACATGTGGAGTTGATAGCTTGTGGTCTCAGTGCAAGCACACAGCTCTATGAAGATGGATTACCGGGCGGCAGCGCAGCCATGGTCTCTGGTCTTCTAGATTGGACAGCATACAAAATCTCCTAATACGGGAAATCCAACTTTCAGCAACACATTCTCTTAGTTAGACGTGTCCTGGGCTGCATTTCAAAAGGCACAAAAACAATTCAACGTGCATGGAAAACTTTGGGCAGGACAAACGGACCTGCCGTAGCTGCCGCAGGGGTGGGGGGAGGGGAGGGACAGACAGGCGGGTGTGGCCGAGGGACCTTGAATTTCGTCTGTGCCGTCTCCATGTTTCTCAACGTAAATGTTTTTGTGTACAATAGTAAGTCATGTAGCGCTCATGTGATTAGAAACACATTTAAAAATTAAATCCGTACCAGCTTCGAGGGCAACGAAAACACTGACTACATGCATCAAATGTACGGAAAAGAAACGAAATCAAAAAACCCCACAGACTGGAGAGTGGAGTCAATTAACCAAAGGAAATACAGGGGGACTTCTGATAGAAAAGTTGACTGTGTTTGAGAAAATACAAGTGCACGAAATCAACAACCGTTTTCTTTTACCCTGATAACTCCTGGCTGACACAGGGAGAAATGGCACTACTTGGATTTGGGAAGGTTGCCACAGGCTTCACCCAGGCAGAAAAACGCTCAGACAAGATCTGCAGGAAGTAGGCTCTAAGGAGAACAGGCTCAGCACTTTTTTGGACCCAGGAAAGGAGGCTTTCTGGGCGCTGGACTCGGTCACAGAGCAGGGGCTCCCCTGCAGACACCCAAGGCCCAAACAAGAGAACCCGCAAAAGTGAACACCCACCATCGTTCCCCAGGAAGGGGACACAGGAGAGGAGGCCAGAGGGAGGATCTGCAGGTTCAAGCCACAGTGTGGGCAGATGGGGCGGATACCCAGCGAGATTTTTCTCTCCCTCTGGCGAATACCCAACCTCACAAAGGGAGGGTCACATGTACTGTTGGCGCTGGGCCCGTCTTCCTTCACCCCGGGCTCTCCTGCAGGGAGAACCACACAAACGGGACCCCCGGGGGGCTGCCATGCCAACACCGGCCACTGGAGGCCAGGCACTCCTGGCCCCGCACCTTTGGCTCATTTCTGTGACGGGAACCTACCAAAACCTCTGGTGGGCACTGGGGTCAGGCCTGTGGGGTGGGAAGGGTGCTTGACCGTTCCTCCAGGGCTGTGCTGAGGCTCCTGGGGCCATGTCTCCAAATCAGCTTCCTGTGCCTAATATGTCTGCCACTCTGCTTTTGGGGGGATCCAGTCTAAGACAGCCCCTGATGGGAAAGAGTGGCTGCATGCACCTGCTTCTCGGTCCAGCACCCTTGACGTAAGGCCGCACACAGCAGCTGGGACCTCAGGCTGGACGGGGTCTCACCCCTGTTCCAGTCCCTCAGAACCCTCAATCTGTCCCCAGCCAGCTCATTCCCTGTGCCCAGTAC